CGGAGAAAAAGATCACCAATCATTTGGGCTCGAGAAACTCGTAAGGGGTGGAGGAGGGGAGTTTTGCGGTTGGCAGAGCAGAAAAAAGGTCACTTGTTTTAAAAAAAGAATGCAATATAGTGGCCCCGATAATGCTTGGGCAAAAGAAACGATAGTAGGCAAAAGGAAAGCTTCTTGATTACATTTTTTTCAGACTCTTCACTTACAGTGTAACAAGAACTTGGTTACCTTGTTTTCTTTTATTATAAGTTATTTTGTTGTTTTCCAAGCCTTTTACTTTGAAGTTCTAATTTTGCACGGGGCGGTGGAAACATTCAACCTATTAAAAGGTGTTCAAGATTAAACCAGAAATATTTTGTTAAGATTCAGGTGTAAATTTAAAGAAAATTGCTCAAAACCAATGGCGGAGAAAAAAAAAAACAGGATTGAAAAGAATATGATAGCAGCCTTATTTAAAACATTCAAACTTTCTGCTTATTCTGATTTAGACAAAACCGTGTGCAAATAATCCTTCTTATCCACCCTTAGGAGCGAACATCACTAATCATAAAATATGCAAAGTTTGTCTCATACAGCTTGAATGCAAGACTACTGGGTCGGGTTTCTTTTGATTTTAAAAGCTTCAGCTGATTCCTTAGCGGAGATACAAATTTTATTCCCTCCCTCTGTCTTGCGAAATAAGCCGGATCATATCATATGAATCTGTGGGTGCACAATAAAACAGCTTTTATGTAATCTTCAACAAACTATTTTCAATATACGTTTTATATGACTATTCCAATATTTTCCGCTCCAAACCATTGCTGTTAACTTACTCAACCCTTGTCCCCTACTCAGTGTTGCTTGGATTATTATGAGAACTACAATACATGACAGTGTGTAATGTCGAGTCTTGTGTAGTTCAACAATAGGTTATCAAGTTGCTTTCAGAGCTAAGAAAATCGAATCTATCTCAATTCATATTGTCACAGATTAAAGCTTCTTATCCTCTCTGGTGCCTTGAGATGTCACACTAAAATGTAGATATCAAATCAATGACAACATTGGATTAATAAAGTGTATGATATTTTAGGCCCTCGTATCAGCACATGAGGAATAGATTGAAGCATATTTATTTTCTGAACTTTGTTGCCAAATACTATGTAATTGATACTAAATTTACTAAATTTTGGTAGGCGGCTGTACAACAACCAGTTGAAGAGATTGCCATCCTGCATTTTCAGTAACAATATCCAGCTGGAATGGCTGTAAGTTTGGAGTGTTTCTTAATATTGGTGTAAGAGAAACAAGTAAAATTTGACCTTCAAAACAGACATTTGAATGAGTTGTATTGCATATTTCAAGCATATCATTGGTCATGTCCCAATAAAGCCGCACTAAAACACAGACTAAGAAATTGCCTCTAGAACATGCATTGTATTCGTTCGCAAAATTGGATTACTCAAATAGTCTTGCTATCAAGTCAAGAATATTCTATGTAATTCAGTGTTCAAGGGTGTGTTTTAGTCTTCTGTTTATTCTCCTTTGCACGAACGAACGATTAAAAAAAAATACAAAAAAAAAAAAACAACAACAACAACAAAATAACAGCTTAGTGACTCCTATGGTGACAACCCAGTTTAAATGAGCCAGCCGCCAGATTATTTCGYGAATCGAAAATCAGTGACGAAAAATTTAATTTTTTTTATTATTTTACCAAAACATCCCCCTCTGTGATCTAGTTTCGAAAAAAATATCTTAAAGTTCCAGCGTTTTTTTTTTTCCGGCTGAATTTTAAAAAAAGTTTGAAAATTCGCTAAAATAGCCGTTTTTGCCTTGCCTAAACGCGGGTGAATCATCACGCAGCTTTAGAAAGATGTTGGCAGCGCTAAAGAAGTCCATTCCTCATCAAAGGTTGCACAGTAGCTATATTATCACTGCACAATAAAATCATGTAAAAATTTTCTTGTAATTCTCTTTGGTTTGGGTTTTATCGCCGTTTTTATATATACAGGTGTATTTTGCACGTCTTTTTGGGAGACAAAATGAGGGCTAACTTTGACCGGTTTAAACGACACCTGGTACCCAAAAAATTTCGACATTAAAACCATATCAGACGAGAGCTCATTTATCAAACTATACACCTGGAAAGTTTGGCCGTTGGAAATTAAGTCTCTTTAAATAAAACGTGATGCCATCCCAGCGCCATGTAAGCGTGCAGAATGCGATGTTCATTTCAATCTAATTATGTTTGTCGAAAATACACAGAAAAAATTAAATGACCATTAAACGGCATCAGCATCGTTAAGTCTCTTCTGTGAAGCTGTGAATGTAAAGCAAAGTAGTTTTTAATCTTTTAATCTTTCTTAATCACGTTTTAAGTGCCAGCGTGTCTCTTCACGCATGTTAACACGGCTGATGGGATTTGCAAACTTCAGAATATGTCGAAAACAATCAAAGTGCTGGCTAATACGCCGCTAAATTAAAGATGTGCTGAGTTGCTTCTTATCATATATACACAAAAATCTTCGTGCTAAAAAAGGAAGAAAAAGAAAGCTATTTGGATTATTCACAGCATTCATGGCATAGACAACGTATGCAATTAATCAAGTTTATTGATCTCTGCGTGACCTAAGCTGTGATGCTTAACATGTTCAGATAAACAAAGAATCGCCTCAAATTCTTTTGTGTCTGTTTTAAAAATCTTGGATGAAAGAACAATATAAAAATCCGTCGAGGAAACCATCTTCATAGTTTTTAAAGAACTTTCCGAGAATTATTTGTGTGAAAATCTATCGTCGCGCAAATGGCCTCCTTGAATGGCAGAGATTCACCCATGAAATCCAATCGTGCAGTTAAGGAAGTCCTGAAGTTGTGGCTATCATGCAGGATGTTCTGAAGACCATAAAGCTGAACACGGCGAAGGAACGAAGGCATATTTCAGGCAAGACAACGCCGATTGCTATCATTCATTATGTTCTATCTTAGCGCGTCCAGCCATTGCAGAATCTACTGGAGTCCAGGTTATCGGAATTGACTTTTCTGACCTGCAGGGAGGTAAAGGTGCCGCAGACAGACTTGCGGCAAAATGTAAAGGCCACGTAAGAGTCTACATAAACCAAGGCAACGACAGGAAGTCAGTTCCAAGAAGCTCTTGTTTCCCGCAGAGGCATCGAAAGAGTGACAGTAGTTGCAATTGACAGCATGGAGGATTTCGTCATTGATGAGGCTAGGAAGATTCCCTGTATCAGCAAGCTCAACAATTTTAAGTTCAACCCCGAAAGCATGATAGCTTAGCGTGCCTATGAAATTGGGAGTGGGAAAGATATCAGATTAGAGAAGCAATCTTCCGGTAAGTGCTAGTGAGCTACATCATACAGTGTTGACAAGTAGCATATTTTTGATATGTTGCAATCTCCTTGCCACCTGTCCGTGCGCAAGTCTCCCGTCCATACTCGACCACACCCGTGTTCGTAGGTGTGTTCATCACCCGACCGTCTGACCGTGCATTCATCGATTCTTCTTTCTCTTGTCGAGTATGTGTTTATTAATTGATCGCTTCCCTCCCACTTACCGTTTCTCCTTTTTTTCCTGTCGGTCAGATCCGTTAGCCAGTCTCACTTTAGTCAGTTTAAAATTATAATAGGAATACTTTTTTTTACATGCATGGTCTTTGTCGTACCGAATTTTCTTTGCAAAATCGCATAAAAAAATTACCACAGTTTAACAACGTCTTCTTTACGGAATGTTTTGATGACCACAACATCATTCTATTTTCAGTGTGTAGTTATCGCTGGATGGGGTCAACATTTTCCACAGGTGATTTTAAATCACTCAACAAAAAGCAGCGCACGCAGACGGAGTCGGAGACTACAGAAAAACCTGAACTCTCTAAGACGCATGAAGAGATTGCTGGTGATGAAACAGCAGCATTTGCCTGCCCTCAAGACGGGTGCGTGAGAGTTTTTTACAGGAATTCTGCCTTAGAGAAACACCTGTCCTCAGAAAAATGCACAAAGGCTTTAGAGAAGAGATCTTTGCTAGACCTGGCCAAGATCGCGTGTAAATCAGCATTGGAAAAAGGTGTGGAAACCATACCAACTCTTTAACCGGTACCGGGAAGTGAACGTCGAACTGATTGATGTAATAAGACTGGGATTTTAAGTCAACCAAGAAGGCCTACAGGCTTATTGAGAAGCAAATGGCATACCTTGATGCCAAATTCAATATTGGCCAAACGTCAGGTAGAAAATTAGATGGGGGAGTAGATGCAAGAGAGATGAGACGTGCCCAAGGACCTGACGATGCTCGAATTTTCAACGTTGCAGAGTCCTGAGCCCACAGCAGATCTCTTCCTACTTCTCC